GCATATGATAAAGAACCGAAGACAGAATTCTCCAATCTGCCCAAAATATTTAAATACATATAATTCAAATCCGAGTGAAAATCCGAACAAGGCTATAATAATATATTTATACAGTGTGGGGACTTTAACTGGAATGAATTCGCTAGCAGGAAAGTGGAAATTTTTTCCCAAAAATACCCGACATACTTAAACGTTTTAATATATTTTCCTACGACTACTATTGTTAGTGATGAATATTGTACACAAAACAATCTCAGCTTCTACTTTGGTATCTAATGCTGGACTAATAACAGCTTTTTTGTGTTTTTTTTTGTCAAAATGTAAACAAAATATTTCATAGTTGGAGTCTTCTTTTCTGTTGAAACCTTTAAATACCTGCTGTACCGTTATCTGTTATCCTTAATATTTTACTTACTCTGTAGTTTGTACCATTACCTCTAGGTCGATACCTACCTGAGTAAAATCTTCGATCTATAGTCAAATATCAAATCTAGTGATTCTAGTCCAACATCTGCAAGTGTTTAGGTAGGTATAGAAATGAAAATATTCTTAATATAATCCTGAAATAACCAAGGGCGTCCATAAGGAGGGGGGGTAAAGAGAGTGATCCCCCCCCCCCAAGAGTGAAAATTATTAAATAGTGAATTATTATATTTTTTAATTCATGTCAAAATTAAGATAGGTAATGGATATAATGAAACGTTTATGGATGTTTGATTATAATGATTCGTTTGTCCAAAGAAGTTTAGTTTCGTTTCTAATCAGTGCCGGTTTAAGGTGATTTGCCGCCTGGTGCTATATGGTGGAAACGCCGCCCTTCAGACTTCAAAATATTCCTAATCTCTCAGGTCTTTGGATTTTTTCTCATGACACATTTTTGAAGTGATAATACATTCGATAGGCACGTGGTACGTTTTCTGGGATGGGAGTAAAACGGCAAACTCGCGTCCCGGGTGCAGCGTACCATAAGACCGGCATAATCATATAAGCATTGTACCTATACATACCATTGAAGTTCTATGCACACCAGTTTTTTTATAGAAATTTAATGAACAAAATGAAAAATATAATATAACAAACAGGATGTCGTGAAATAAAATTAAAAACATAATTCTTCATCATAATGAATAACAAGGAAAATGAATAGGTATATGAATTATAAAGGAAAATCAAATAATAATAGGCAAGTAGGTAACTAGGAACATGAAGAAACAATACAAAAATGTGTTTTCTTGCTTCAATGCAATATGCAAGCCTTTATGTATGATACTCTTCGCAAGCTCTAGACATTAGTTTCATTCAGTAGATCTTGTTTGAGTTGAGACAAAATTGTTAGCTCAAAAATTTCGAAAACAAATATTCATATTGGGAAAAGAAGATATTATATTACATTACACTCGTGTAGAACTTTGACTGCTTTGGTCTGTACAAGAGAAAACTGTTTTTTTCAATAATAACATTCGTCATAAATAAATTTGTACAGATCCTCTATATATTATTTTTGTAGTTCACTTGCCGATTTGATCAAATTTTTATCCTCTGCTGACACTATCTTGAACAGAAAGTCAAATGATTCTGAACAAGATTAAACACTGTGTCCGCTATTTTTCTCTCTGGTTTGAACTTTTTGCCGTATTTTTTCTCCTAATTGTGCTTTTCTTGGGATGATTCACTTCTTAACATAAATTTCAGTTTAGGTAGTGTAGTGATCAAATCTTTCTCTTAAAAAATCAAAATATCCAGATAAAAACTGATGACAAAAGATGTGCAGGTGTATTTTCATATAGCCACCTGGTGCTATAGCACCCAAAAAGACCCTTGATAAAACCGGCACTGTTTCTGATTATAATATAAGGTGTGTCTAAGATAAGGATATGTCTATCATGGGGATCTCGGAAATGGTTTCACCGAAACGAAAAAAAATGGCAATGAGAATTAATCTTTCGTTTTCCTATATCTCTCAAAATAGCGACATAAAAAATAAGAACTGAATCGGGAAATTTCGGTTTTTTAGGGATATCTCCAGAACTACTCGGAATTTTGAAACGAACGACATATTGTTAGGCTTGCAAAATGGTCCCATTAGGAACTAGTTGCTGACGTGAAAACGTCCCCCACCAGTACCAGTAGTAGTAGTAGGCTTGGAAATGCACAACTTTTCTCTGATTCAACCATCTTCGTACCTCTTATGGTTTTCGAGATCCTCATGATAGACATCCATATCTTGGTCACGGTGTATACAGTGCTTTCGTGAAGGATCTACTGAATAAATTCATTATTATCCAAACTATTCATATCTGAGGAATCTCCTGAAACAGATCGGTTTCGAATTTCAATTTTCCACATATTTATAATGGAAAATTAAATATACATGGTGATCCACGATTGAGTATTGACATCCACGACAGTGTTTTGGGATATAACACCCTATATTTTATAACATTTTTGGAATCTCTTGGAAGAGCTGAATTCGAAAATACATCACACACAGGATGTGTATACAGTGCAACTGTTAAATTCAGAACGCTCGGAGCCATCGAATTTCATCATCATTCCCTGTCACAATTTACAAAACCAATATACAGGATGGATTTTCCAGATTCTGAATAAGTCAGTCGATCAGAAAATAGTGGCGGAATATACCATGAAGAAATCAGACAAATCGATGAAGGTGTATTGGAAAGCTATGACCATCATATATAGAGATGTTTTTGCCAAATCTCATAATTCACCCTATATATTGAAAAAGAAGTGTAGAAGACACTCTCTGATGGACATTCGGTGTTCCACCCAAGGGCATCTATTCGTGGTAGGACTCAAGATAAAGATGAAAAATAATGTTGGGTACCTATAGGTACAATTTATTGATTATCCATATTCCAATTTATATTCATATCTTCTTGTTTTGAAAAACATATTGAAGAAAATACTACTTCTACATGACTTATACCTACCTATATAGTACCGGAAAATTATAATCATCCTGAATTATGTTATAAAAAATGTCATCAGGTGCATCTCTATTATTGTTATTATTATCAACATGATCAACATTCTTCGACCTTCCACAGAATTATTCATCTAACAGTAATAAGCGAATTTTCTTTCGTAGCATTGAAGCAATAATTGATTACCTACGAGTTGTCCAGAAAAAATATCAATGATCAATGCTAAATAAAGTTGTTCAACTTCCTCGTTACGCCACTGTCCCTACTTGTATCAATGAGATAGCATAACTATCTGTTTCTCAACGTTTGCAAGGATTATGCCACTGGGTTGGTGTCAAAAGTTTGATTTTTCCCTTAAAGAGGTCGTACTAAGGGTCATATTAGATTGGTTGACCCTATCGAGAAGTTCTTTAGATTAGGCAGGATTCGGAGAACTTACTATGAGCTAGACAAGGATGAGAAGTTTTACACGCTGTTATATTATCGAAAGGAAATTTGGACGTATCGTATCGCGTGCCACTGCCAGTATTGCCAGGTTTTGCTTTTGCTCGCTCTTCACTCACTGTGCGAAGTGCATGTGCCTTCTGTCATAATCAATCCTCTCTAGACTTAGGCCATATTTCTCATTAAACATTAAACTAGATAATAATGTTAATAAAACTAAGTGTCATTTGTGTCCTTATACACATCGGCTATGTGCGGAACGAACGGCTGGACTGGGGTAAGTTAGAAATTTCACTTTGTGATTTTTCTCGCTACTAATGTTGTATTTTCGCGCGCCATGAGGAGAAGTCCAATAGTCACGTAGGCCCGGTGTGCGGTAATATCCTTATGCATTTAAATCCATTAGGGGGTGGAATATAATAATTATATCATTTCAGATTTTTTATTAAATGTAAATAATAAAGTTGGAGGATAAATTCAATCCTGTGAGATCACATCAGTGTTTTAATCACTGTTATCTAGGTATAAATACCTATTATAAGTATAATAATAGTAGACCGATTACCTATTTCATTTTTAATTATGTAACAATCAATCATAGGATTTATAGGTAATAATTGGGTATAAGTAATTAGCTATTTTGGTAGGGGTGACAGTTTATCAATTACTGATATTGATTAGGTAAGCAGGTAGGTAATAAGAATAAGTTGTCGAAGTATAGGTATTTACTTACATAAGCTAATCAGTTAATTTTGACCTGCGATAACTTTTTGTTACAAGATAATTTAATTTAAAAAAAAAAACAAATAAAAAAATTGGTGTATGCTAGGTACATAGGCGCCGGAATCTCAAAATTTCATAGGGGTCAAAATAAGGATATAGAGGGTGTTTAATTACTAATTGGAAATATTTCAACTATAGAATCATGAGAATAAAATGGCAATTCCCCCAGTGGCGTAGAATTTGGCTAGGATCAACCAGTCACTTGCCCCTGTCGTACGCCTCTGGGAGGAGCCAGAAACGTTTATGCTACACAATTTGGGATTTGGGTGTATACTTTCGCGCCTAAAATGACAATGATACGTCAATTAGTTTCTAAGTACTAGAAGCAGGAATAATTTTCAAGTTTCCAAATAAAACACCCTGTAACTCAGACAGGAGAAACATTTCATCTAGGTGATTGGGGTTTAATCTTCATAATGAGCTCAGTGTTCCATAGTTGAAATACATCTTATTATAGTAATGACGAAATTACATATAGAAAGATTTCAACTACAGATTCCAGGAACAAAAATTGCACAAAATCTTCATATAAACATGGGTCCCATTCTTTCAACATCTATGTTTGATGTTTAATTCGAAATATGGAGGGTGCTATAAAAATAATATATGTATTGAAAAATAATATAGTAGGATCGGTAGGTACCTTTTTACGCGTGCAATTATAGTTTTTGAGTACGATTTGCTTAAATAGGTATTTATTACAAGGGCGAAACCACTGCAGCATTATAATACCACTCATTCTATCATTTTTTTCTATCGAATATTCAAAACATCTAATTATAATCTATAATGAATGTTGATGAAAAGAGATGTGGAATGTGATTTGAAGCCTTGAAAACAATGTCAATAAATCTATATCTTCGTATCTAAATCCATTTCTAAATCAGTTCCATAAATTTCCTTTGATATATTATGTCCGTAATGATAGATCGATAATTACATTTTTTTGCTTCCTGTTCCCCAAAAACATAAGAAGTACTTCCTGAACAACATGTAGGACACGAAATTCCCATTCTAACCTTGAAATTGGATCATTTATCGATTAAATCATTACATATTTTCAGTTGAATTATGATAGGTATTGCTTGAAGCAATTATTGACATCATGCTCTAAACTACATATATTACATCTTGATGAATACAAATATTTATAACTTTTCTTATTTTTGAATTATTTGTTCATTGGTCTTGCGTAAAATGATAAATAATCAGTATTATTTGATGTACTTAATAAATTGTATATAATTCAAAATATTATTACCCTAGTCCAAATTAGGTCTTGACCACACAATTTTTTCACACACATAGTACGAGATAACAGCAATTTTTGGATAATGCTCTCATTTTCAGAAGTTAAAATTGAACTTTATAGTATTGATGATTTGTTGTGCTTGCCAGGGTCAATGTTTTCTACTAGTCAATATTGGCAAGTCATTATAAATCACCCTGGTTATGAGATAACTCAATTATGCCTTCATTGAGGCGACTAAGTCTCATCAAAGTTTATGCATAATTTGGATGGAAATTTTGGAAACGACGAAGCAAGCATATTATTTTAGAATCAATATACCGGGCTCACGCCCAACTTTTTTATTATTAGAAGCGAAATTTTGAGGTTGTGTATTATAAGTTCAATTAAACTTTTTTGGCATTTGCTTGCTTGGTCGTACTTCCAGTTTGACCGGAAATGAGCCCGACTTTCGAATTTAAATGGGACACCCAGTATGTTAGTCCATATATAATCGGTGGAGCCAAAAATGGTACGCCACAGATTTTTTCAAAAACCAAAATCATTTTTGAAATTCCCATTTATTTTAGAGCAAATTTGGCTACTATATAGTTACTTCCATACGACGTACCGTTCTCGCGTAAAAAAATGAAAACCAAAAGGTTTTTTTTCCTGAGATTATTTTTGGTATTTCGCTCGGTATTTTGTTAAAATTCAGTAGACACCTCGGTAGGCACCCACTATGAGTATAAAGCCATTTTGTTTTGGGACGAAAATATTTTTTTTACAGAAAACTGTACGCCTATAATTTTAACACCCTCCTGCTAAAAAACTAAGAGGTTGAGGAGTTTTAGGACATCATGTTGATATAAACCTTTCTCCTAGAAATCACCCGAGGATTCACACCTCGTATTATCGGCACTCAATTAATTAACACCCTGTATGTATATTATATTTTCCAACTTGGCACCGCCCTAAACGAATTGCAAAAATAAGACATCATTGTGTAGATGAGATAACGACAAATCAAACATGTGAAATGATGGTAGTTCCGTTTCAAAAAAAGTGTGGATATAGTTCATAGCCCCGCGTTCAAAAAACATCCTAAAGAGATTTTGTCAATCTTTTCTCCGCCTCCATATTTCATGGTCCAAAATCGATTTTGTCGAAAAACAAACAACATAAGGTTTCAAATTGAATTATCCAAGTTCTCCTCAGGAAAAACACTGATTTTTCTTAGCATTTTCAAATGTTTAGCTAAATGCGTTCGAATATCATTCATTCTATTACAGAAATTCAAGAAGCTATTTCGAAACAGAATTTCCAAAGGAACTGAAAAATATTCGAGAACTTTATATATTCTTCATTACCAATAAAACACAAACAATATAATGAGGTCCGTATTAAATTAATGGGAGTGTTGTTTTTTTGTTTTGACTGACTTCACACGAAAAATAATTATAACATGGGCATTTTCAACGCAGCTTCGATGCAAAGTTCGAATATAATTTTTTTTCACAAAAGTTTAGAGGCGATTTTTGAAAAAGTACTCCCAGAAAAACATACACCTACAATCGAGAGCCTTATTTTTTTATCTCTTTCATTTTGGACTATGAAAAGTGAGGGCGGAGAAATAGCAAACATACATATTATTCCAGTGATAGCAGTTGATATTTGAAGAAAAATCTAGCATACGACTTTTTTCTTTCAAGCTCAGTGATAAAAAATGCACTCTCTCAAGTGACATGATTGAACCAACACCAAAATATATATTAATCATTTTGATGTCGATATAGAGAGTGCTGCCACATCAGTTGCTGCTATGAATATTTTACGTCATTCATTTATGTTTATCATTGTTTTTATTCTGATGGAATTCATAGATGATTAACATTATTTGAAAATTCATAGATGATAAACATTATTCAAATAATAAAAAAGGGTCGTTTCTAATTACTATATATATATATATATATTTAATCTACTAAACATAAAATAACATACCTACCTTATTTCCTTTTCAAATTTAATTGAAATGTCAAACATGCATATACAAAACAGTGTTTATTATTAGAGTACCAACCGAGACCAACCAAATATATCTTAATTTTTTTCTCTTCGAGATCGTTATGAATGTGCAACAACCTGAAATTCGATTTTGTCACATGTTCACTTGATCACTGGAATCAGACTACAGAAGATACTAGTCATTCAGTAATCTTTGCTGGAATAACATTAAATTGAAGGAAATCACTATGAAGAGGCAAGAAGTAGGGTTAGATGGCAAGATATCGAAAAAAAGTTGCGGAGGATAGGGAGAGGAGGTAGGTGTTGGATTTTTTCTGAACTTTCAAAGATTAGAATTCAATTTGATAATCACATAGGTATAAATATAGAGTTTCGTTTTTTTTTCACACCAGATAGCATGAAATTGATAAAATCGGTTTTTGCCAGAACCCAGTCGCATCTGCCAAAAATGTCTCATAGAAACTTATAAAAAAATATATATGAGAATTAATGAGAATGAAGTTGGATAGTGAAACAGTAATTCCGTATAATCCTATGTATTTTGCAGATCCATATATAATCAGTTTCTAATGGCGATTCTCTCCCTTCTTCTTAAAAGTATGAACTGTTTTCCGCAGATATATTCATAATCAGTTCCTACTAGTAATTCCTGGTTATTTACATATGAGAATATATCAGAGTCAAGTTGGATAGTGAAACAGTAATTTATAAGCTCGAAATGTATTCTGCAGTTACATTTATAATCAGTTCCTGATGGCAATCCTCAATGGAGTCGATGAGTTTGAACTGTAATTCACAGATACATTCATAATCGGTTCTAAATGGCAATTCCTGATTAAAACATCGTAATTCATGATTTTGAAATGTGTTCTGCATGTACATTCATGACCGGTTCCTAATAGCAATTTCCAACGAAGTCTTTGAGTATGAACTATGTTTTACAGATACATTTATAATCAGATTTTGATGGCAATTCCTCATTGAAACACTGTGGCTTTCATGAGAATGGAATGTGTTCTGCATATACATTCATGATGAGTTTCTAATAGCAACTCTATGAGTATGAACTCTGTTTTGCAGATACATTTGAAATCAGTCCCTAATTGCAATTTCTTATTGAATTAACGTGGCATTTATGAGTTTGAAATGTGTATTGCAGATACATTCATAATGAGTCCCTTATAGCAATCATCATCAGTTCCTAATTGGAATTCCCCATTGGAACACCGTAGCATTTA